TATATATACAGATAGTCATCTGTATAGAGTACTATAAACCCCAGTGAAATTCTATTTGATCGACCAGAAATAGGTCTATTTTATTCGATCTTCATACAGCTACATGGGTGTACAATACACCGTCGTGTCAGATAGCCCACCTTCTCATATTTAGTTGCATCGTTATTGTGCTGGATGTAATCAAGCCCAATGAATACGTTCTAAAGTATATACGCGGTACGCGCAAGGTGGCTTCGACACGCTGCAGGTGCTCAGATACTTCGCTCAGGCTGGTGTGTGCTTTGCGTTATCCTCACACTTGTGACGATACGCACAGTAGGTTTAATACAGCGTAAGGCAAATGTATGTGCGGCCATACAGGATACGCTATGCACAGCAAACATACGTATGTGAGGCCATACATGATACGCTATGCACAGTAAACGTCTGTATGTGCGGCCATACAGGATACACTACGCACAGCAAACATACGTATGTACGGTCATAAATGATACGCTTTGCACAGCAAACATTGCGTGCAAACACAGCGCTTAAGGTCGTCACCACTTTCTCACAACTCGGATATATCGGAGAAATGGCGATGCCAGTGGGGTCAGAGAGGCTTCTGGGTGTTCAGACAGCACCCATTGTCCCAAATTGCGCAGGTCTGTTCCGTATGTCATATCCAGGAGATTTGTTTATGTATGAAAAATCTGGCCATACCTCCCTGTTCCAATTCCAAAGAACACGATGTGTTATGGTTATGCTGGCAACAAGCACCGGAGATGCCCGTGATGGCTGATGTACTATCTATCAACTAATAATATAAAACCAGCAGGAATTCCCCCCCTCCCCCTCCGTCCACTCTAAAATAGGCCTGCTAGTATAGTGTGCCAACCCGTGTGCTGTTACTACCAGGCACCGACTGTGTACTCTCACACAGTACACCCGTCTCTGGAGAGACCCCCAGAATTAGGCCAAGAAGCCATTGGTTAAGCGTGTCCAAGCCCAATTGGGCCCAGCCTGCGCTACTTCAGCATGATGCTCTCGGCCTCCTCGTAGGTGCACTCGTTCTTGTCTCGTACCAGTCGGATGATCACCTGTGACATGCAGAGATGTCATGTCAGCGTGAATGGTTGGTCAGCTACTCTTCATGCAATGGGTAAGGATACGCGCGTAGCATCGAATCAAACCACACATGTATCTCACACCCCTGTGGTCGCCCTCTACGAGTTCCTATATAGCGAGTGCGTACCAGCTATGCAACTGGACACTGGATATCGTAAGGATGAAGGCTGCTCTCTGGTAGTATTGTTTGATGCATGTGCTTCTGTATTGGTTGGTGGTTCACAAGCATCGAAGGATTGCGAGTGCGGTAATACATGTCCAAGCATCTGGCATATGGGAGCCACTCTAAACAGTCTGGTGACGCAAGCGTTGCGACACCCGCACATCGGGATATCAACCAATTCGTTCACACAACACAATATTAATGCACACATCCATGAATGCAAGCATTCACATATTGCCATGATCCAGTACACGTACAATTCATTCCCACCAAATGCTTCGGAATCCGAGAATGAAACGCTATTTATCCGAAGGTGCTCACAACTCACACCTCACACAACTACCCTTCCCAACTCCGCCAAACGACACACCTCGGGCAAAAGCACATCCATAGCATACGACAGCAAGGGCATGTAGTTATCGGAGTTACTGAGCCGTTGGGGCGCGAACCACTCTACCAGCGTCTTAGTCACCCAGCCGTAGTGTTTAGTGTTCAAATGCGCTTGCCTGAAGAATACAATTGGATGATTTTTGAACAGTGTTAGGTGGGCGCAAAGGTGTATGTGACGTAAGGCAGTCATGCATGTAGTGTATATATACATTCATACGTATATATATATATATATATATATATATATATATATATATATATATATATATTATTATTATTATATATATATATATATATATATATATATATTATATATATATATATGTGTGTGTGTGTGTGTGTAGTG